GTCATGTGGGAAACCAAACAGGCCTGAAATTGATTACCTCACAGATGTGACGTGCCATATTAGTTATCTCTTGATCACGGGGTCCAGCATTAACAAGAAAATACCCCTTTGTTTGCTCAGCATGACTATAACAAGCAGTTTTTGTCCTCCCTTTTCTCTTTCTCTTTGGACACTTGAGTACAGGAAAAAACATTTTCTAAAAAAGAAGAAGGTGGAACCTATAACTTTATACTTATTTTATTTTTTAGAGTTATTCCATTCGGACTGTAGGGAAAAAGTGCCTCTCTGTTTTTGTTATTCCTGAATTTAAAGAATAGATATAACTTACTTTAGATGGTTTAAAAAAATGCTTTTTTGTGTGTGTTTTAAAAGCATTTAGCAAACATTTCTCCAAATAAATCTTTTTTTTTTGTTGCTTTGTTTGTCGTTGGTGTTAAATGATCAATCCAGTTGAAGGTGCTTTACTTTCTTGGGAATCAATTAAGCATCAAGCTAAACTTTGTTGTAGTGTTACACTTTTACACATATGGTTTGCAATCAAGAATAATTAACCTTAAGTTCAATAACTGTGATAAAATGTATCCATTTATATTATATTTCACTTTCCTCTCATTTCTAAAAGCATAGTAATAGAAAAAACTGTAATTAATCTTTAATAGACTACGTTAAAAAGCATCCCATCCACATGATTTGTCATTTCCTTATATGCACTAATAAGAAGCATATAAAAAAAAGACATTTTTCTACAGTAGTTGGGGTTAGTGCTGTAGCCCCCTGTTTATCTTGTATCATTTAACTTTGCATTCTTCGGCAATGAGTGTTTACCTGGCATTAAATGATGAAGTAAAATATGGGCTGATTAGTACCCATCAGAATAATACCCACACATTATTAAATATAGTATTTTTTATTATTTATTTTGTGTGATTTAGAAAGAAATATGGCTATATGGTTCTGAATAATAGTATCAACCAGCATTAGGTCGCTATTGTTTGATTATAAGTCTGAACAGATACATGCCTACATAATGGAAATATTACTTGGAAAAGAAAAAATTAGACATCCTTGAAAATATTAAACATCTTTAAGATTATTGTCGGAGTAACTCATTAAAAACGTACCTATTTAGAATAAAAAAAAAAAAAAAAAAGTACGGTTCTGTACAGGATATGAAAATGAAGTATGAAGGCAAAACTAATATATGAACTGGTAAAGAGGTGAACTAATGCAATCTGTGACTCCACCTATTGCTCTTCTGCTTCAAACAGTTCTGATACCTTTTAAAGAGAAAATCTAATAGATGAAGTTCAAATGGAAAGACAATGAGGAAAAAAACATTGCTATATCATTCTGATATAAATATAATATATATATATATATATATATATATATATATATATATATATATATATATATATATACACATACATATAATAGATGTTTTAAAATGTGTTTTCCTAATCATTTGATGTTTTATAAGGATGTCTGAAAATCTCATTTATTAATAATGTCAAAGTATTTTGGTATTCTCTTTTTTCCATATTTTTATGGGACAAATTGTTTAATCTGAAAGGAAAGACAATCTGATTTATAGATCGGGTCCTAAGGTACAAACAAGGAAACATGGTGTATGCTGTTAAATACCAGAAGGACGAGTTCTATATCAGGGAAACAGAGCAGCCACTGGTCTAAAAGATGGCCCAGCAACACAACATCATCAGGCCAAGATTCTGCTGTTTACATCTGCTGGGATGATGTTCTTATAAGAACGAAGGAAGTAAAGGAAGCCATTTTCATGAAGAAAAAGGCCCACTGTTAAATGGAAGTGCATTGATGTCCATTTATTGCCGTCTCCCAATGCAGTAACTGGAAGGATGACTCAGCCATCTGGAATAAAACTCAGTCACCAATGCCTATCATCATCATACTGTCGGTCCTCGTTTGCATGTGAGCAACCAGGTAGGATTGTCACCATTTCCTGGGTTGTCTGCTGTGCAAAGATTCTGGTTTTAGGGCTAAGTTTATCTGTACTGTAACTCTACAGACTAGAGAAGTTTTTGGGAAAAGAAACTGAATATTTTCAACAAAGAAGAGCCCATCTGAAAGTCTTACTCAAGTTTTAAGAAATCCCACCTATAAGTTTTTATTGTTTAATCACCCTTCACTTGAGAACGCGCAATTGTTACAGTTTAAACAGACGAAAATGTGTTATAAATGATCAATACACTGTTAACTTAACGGGACCAAAAAAACAATATTTATAGTCTTTAAATGTTTTTTGATGTTTTTAAAAACAGTTTTTTGGGGATTTAATTCCATTGATTAAAACAAAAAAACTTCACATAGAAGTGAAGTAGCTTGAAAATCAGGCATAACTGTAAATAAAGGTTTGACGCTGGGTCAATAAGTTGTAGAAATACTTTTTAAGGTAAGTTTCAGCTAAAATTAAATATCTTCTGACTGGTTTATTGGTCATTTTTTCCTAGAATAGTCTTAACCTGGTCAGATTGGATGCAGAGTATCTATGCTCAACTAATTCAATGTTTTACCACTGATTCTCGATGGGATTAAATCTTAACTTTATTTAGACCATTTGTACAATTAATTTGCTTTCCTTAACACTATTATATTTCTGTTTTGAACAGATCTTTTAAAGTTAAACCTCTGCTAGATGAGAAGCAACCAATCATGATGCCTCCACCTTCATCTTTCATGGTTTACATGAGGTTTGTGGGACGAGTAAAACTGTCTTTTTCTTTCATTGAAGTGCTGCAGCTCTTCCCTGGGTGTGCCGTTCCATTTTAAGATGTTAGGATAAAACGGAGCCGTATGAGATGATCATAGATTAGGATATCATCTTTAGATGTGACACCCTTTACAACCTCTCTGCATCTCTATCCCTGATTTGACTGTTTTCCTTGTTTTTTTTTAACTATCCTGCTTCTTCACTTATGCTCTTTAACAAATATTTGAGATCTTTACAGAACAGCAGCATTTCCACTGAGTTTAAATAATGCACACGTTAAGCACAACAAACAGAGGATCTGTTTGAGGCCACAGACAAAATCTCCTGGTTGAAGTCATCCATGTCAGCTGACCTTTAGGACACATTATGTGTCGGTTCTTTGGCTCTACTGAATGAACATTTCTATGTCACAGGGGAAGAATGTGTGAAATCTAAAATTAGACATGAGAAACAAAGGCAGGACAGGTCTCAGGACAACAGGGGTATTGTTAGGGATTCTTCACACCTTTTATCTGTGTCACTGAAGGAGTTAAGTCCTGCTCACACTCATATGGGATGTCACAAGCTGCTCCACATCCTATATGCATGACAGTATCTTCAGCTCTTGGTAGTGTGGGGGGATTGACTTAGACATATTCAAAGCCTTGAGTTGCTATGATTTACCAAGGTCCTTTTCTAGTTTATTTTCCCTTTGCTTTCCACGGCAGCTCTTGTACTCAACTGTCCCTGTTAAATTATTGGTTAATGTCAGGCCATCTAATAAATACAGTTCCTTTCAGTATTTCACTCTTAGTTTCCCACAAATGCAAATGATTAAATTCCCTTATTGTTTTGTATAATCTACTGTGCTCTAGCTCTGTATTTTAGTGATTTATATAGAAATTCTGATAGCGTTATTATAGTGGGAAATCTTATCATTCTCTAATCCTTTCTTAGCCTTAAACTTGGATGTTATTTCTTTTGCTTAAAGCCTAAACTTTGTTCAAAAAGTTTTCACCCAGCTTAGCTTCCTGATATCAATTATATTAACCTTTTCTAAACCTTCAACTTGTATGTTATATTCAAGACCAAACAAATGATTAAATATGTACTTCCTTTGGACTCCACAGCCATCTTACAATAAAACTTTTCTGAATACCTTCTCTCCTCTTTAAGTAGGCATTCAATTCAGGATCACAGACAAAGAAAAGTAATGGATGGATGTCCAACTGACACTGAAAATCTGCTTTTATTTAATGAGACAAATAGAAATATGCTGAATACTGATGCATTACATGCATTATGTGTAAGCTTGATGAAAGGTCTTGTCTATCCTTTAGTTCATTTCCCTTTTCTTCTACTTCTTCTCTCCAAACGCACTAATGTATAAATATGCGCATAGCTTTGTCAGTAAGGACTCTAATGAAAAATAAGTCTGTGATATTTTTGAAAGATATAGATGTGTGTGTTTATTTTCCTTTTGGTTTATTTTGATCAGTACATATTGACCTTAAGATGTTTTTGGGCCTATCAATTTCCAGCCAACCCTCGGTAAACAGTAGTAACCCACGGAAACATTTCCTAGAACCACAATTGTCCCCTTAGCTGTAGAGATATTTTAAATACTTAAGATAAACAGGCAAGAAAGTGAAAACTTAATCAAGGTGTGCTTTGGAAATACATTAAGCGTATAAAAAAAAACATACATATACATTTGACTGAGCTATGTATGTGAACTGAAATGGACAAAAAATTAACAAACACTGACTGACCATCACACAGAATCAAGAAGTGGGTCTAGAACTTCTTGAGGACAATGGAAGCAAAAAAAAAAAAAAATAGGAATCCAAATTGTAAAGTAAACAATACAGTTATCCTTCTCGAGAGAGAGAGAGAGATACCTTCTGATAAATGTACATCTTTGCTCAACTACAAAGTGACAGTTTAGTATTCAAGCATTTTATAATTCCCCTAAAATGATTAGATTTCATGACGGTTTGTTTATCGTGGAAATTAATTCTCCATTTTATTTACATTATCAAACATTAAGCAATAGTAGCAATAGCAATGGTAATCAGTCACAATATAACAATTCAACTAAGAATTTAAAAAAGCACATTTTTCAGAATACATTCCTCTTTTTTTAAGTAGGCTTTCAATTCAGGATCACAGACAAAGAAAAGTAACAGATGGATTTCCAGCTGAGACTGAAAATCTGCTTTTATTTAATGAGACAGATAGAAATCTGCTACATACTGAAGCAATACATGCATCATGTGTAAGCTTGACTGAAAGATTATGTCTATCCTTTAGCTAATTTTCCTTGTCTTCTCTTAGAACTCATCAGCAGGGCTCTGCCTTCCTCATGTGCTACTCCTCTGCATGCAGCCAGCACACAGGGATCCATTGAGGCTCGTTCTGCGCCTGCTGGATGATGGAGCAGAGCTGCATGCAAGCGTCCTGTAGGTCATCGTTCACCACAACGCTATCAAAGTACTGTTTGCATTTGGCCTCGATGAGTTGGGACATCTCCTCCAGCTCTAGAAAGTCATCCTCCTGAGTAACAAAAAAAGTAAACATTTGAGATCTTAGTTCCTGCTGTAATCCTGTCATTGGCATTCAGCACATGTGTTTTACGGATTGTAAAGATTTACATTTTTACCAAGTTTACCCAGATAAGTCTCTCTAGAAATAAAAGCAGGTTGCGAGTGCTCTTACTGTGAATGCCCTGTTGACGGCGTAACCAGTGATGATTCTGGCGTTCCTTCGACTTTGTCTTAGACATTCTGGGCCTGGTGCTTTGATGAAAATCACATACGGCTTCAGGGTTCTTGATCGTAAAAAATGGATGCTCTGAGAACCAAAAAAAAAAAGAACAAAACACAAAGGCACTGTTTAACCAATCGCACCTATGAAATGGATGAGCATCATGCTGCACTGTAAAATTTCTAAATTCAAATAATCTATAACTGTCCAGCTTATCTGTTTTATTTGACCTTGTCACAGATCCATCCATCCATCCATCCATCCATCCATCCATCCATCCAT